ACATTCACATCAATTTATATCCCTGTATGCACTCAAGAAAAACTGACCTTCATTGTGATATGCTGAAGTGGACTGCTCCAGCGCATGTGCACATTTTAAAATTCTGAAACAGCTGGTGAGAGTTATTGACACATGGAGCCATGGACACACAGGTGGCTAAATGAAAGCACAAATAGAAAGCAATTCATATGATAACTTTTTGCAACCTGTTCTGGTACAGCCGTACCAGGAGCTCCAGCTTACCTTGCCATTTGTGGATTGTTGCATGTATTTTAAGGTTCTATGCATTTGCAGTTAGATGGCTTTCCTTACTTTGCAGTTATTGGGTCAATGACTTGGGTCAATKATCATTAGGTTCCCTAGTCCCGCCCCCTTTTTGGGTTTTGGAGGGAATAGGAGCCATTTTAGGTCAATCCACACAGAGAAGTCTTTCTTACAGGATGTAAACCAGGACCTCCTGTGAAAGGCTTCATCATTTACAGCTTGGCCAGGGAGAAATAGCCCCAAAGCCTGGCCAGGGATATACAGTCTCAGCACAGCCTTTGCTGGGGACTTTACAGTTTGTTGAGGAACTTACAGCCTCACAGCTCTTGCTAGGGATCCAGTCCCACAGCGCTTCAGCCAGCCATCACTGGGAAGTAAACATCTTCCTCTTCCTGGAAGTTCTGCAAAGGACTCTGTTTCGGTAAGGKCCCTTCGCAGCAACCATAAAGCATTTTGGACCGGGTGTAGGGGCCCCACGCCAACAGAAGAGAAGACAGATTGCCCAGGGAGAGCTCGGGGATTTTCTCATCAGTGAAACAACAGTTGCCTGTCCTTGGGGGCAAGATCGAGAAAGCTAATAGTTTGTTAAGAAAACCTTGAAGTCAATCATTGAAGATTTCTTATTTGTTCAGTAATAATGATTTTGTTGCATCTTTAAAGTCTTTGAAGCCCATATTTCAGGAAAATCCCAAAAACCCCTCTCTGAGGTAACCCTGGCGTCCCGTTGGACTCACAGAATTTGCGTCCTGTTTATAGTCTTTTATAGGAGCTCAGCGTGCGACAGCACACAACCATTCCTTTATTCCCATAGTAATGAAATTAAATACAGCTTGAATTTACACAGTGAGCACCAGCATGGTAGGCAAGTGGCCCCAAAGGAAAGCAGGGTTGAAGAGGGCAGACCTAAAGATGGAAGGAGACTGAGGAGAGATAATGACAAGAAATCCGTTTGCATGTACTTTCATATATCTACATCAATGCTTATGAGGACCAGTGCATCTTGGAACATCAATTAAATATATATGTCAGAAAACTTGGCAGTTGTCTTGTGTCCATTCTGTGGATTTCAAAAATTCACTACAAAAAAGCCTTTCAGGATTCCAGGGGACTGTTTGCCAGGACCAACAACTCTATGTTTTGACTTGATTTCAGATATCAGGTTTTTAATACCCATTTCTTTTTCATCATTATGAGGCTATTTGGAAGGGCCCTAAGTCTTTCACAGAAATCTTAATCAGAGGCTTTTTTTTAAAAAAAGTTTAATTCCCCCTCAATTTGGTTTGACAGCTGAAATGTCTTTTCATGGTGTCTTGCCTGGATTGAGGCTGTGTGTGAGTGTGTGAGTGTGTGGGGGGACTGAAGCAAAAAAAAAAAAAAAGGAAACTAGGTAATCAACTTCTAATTATTTGTAATCCCCACACAATTTTCTTCCACAATTTTACCTCCATCTTTGAAAATTTTCTAAAGGTTGCAGCTCTCAAATAAGAAATATCAACTTTCCATAAACCTTTCTCCTTCCTCAACACCCCCACCCCACCCCAAAAAAAGACATTTTGGCAGCTGTAATGTTTTTTTAAGAGCTGATGATTTGGGGCAACTTTGGGGATGGGGAGGAAGAAAAGTAAAAGTTGCAGAGAAATCCTTGCGTGCTTGTCAGACTTTTTCCAGAATTGTCCAAATGACGCCTCCTGTAAAAGAGAATTCATTCACAGCAAAGCAGATCATCATCATCATCATCTTTAATTACTTATTAATCGCCCTCCATCCGAGATGCTCCAGGCGATTTACATTGCAGAAATTATACAGGATAAAACACATACATACAAATATTAAAATTAACATGGGTCAAATGCTCTAGTAAAAAGCCAGGTCTTAAGTGCTAGGATAAAATGCCCTAAGTCACGCATGGCTCTCAAATAGGGAGGCAAGGAATTCCATAAGGCAGGGGCAGAAATAGAGAAGGCCCTGTGTCTGGTGCTTTCCAAGTGCACTTCCCTAGGACCCGGTATATAGAGCAAATCACGTTGGGATGGTCGTGGTGACCCCCGATGATGGTAGAAGGAGGGACCCTGCTTTGTCCCAAATTAATTTGATACCCCATTAGATCCTGGCATTCCTGAAATGTAGTATCATCCCTGTGGGGGCTGACGCTGGGACTGCTTCTGCCATCCCAGAGGTCAGTCCGCACAGCCCATTTTGGTCCTTCAGGCTTCCAAAAGCACAGAGAACTGAGGAGGGCACCTCACCTCCCCCCCCCCAAAGCCTTAAAACTGAAACTTCCTGGGCTTCCATGATGCTTCCAGCAGGCCTCCTGGCACATTGAAATGATGTGTCCTGTCCTTCTCCTCCTCTGCCTTCTGGCACATCATTTCTACACACCAGGAGGCCTCCAGAGGGGTGTCATGGCTGCCTGGTAGGTATTTTTACTTTTAAGATGGGGGAGGGGGGCTTTCCATACCAACTCCTCAATGGCCGGGAGGGCCTTTGCACAATTAAGACTCGTGCGCCAACTGCGACCATACCTCGGGAAGGCAGATCTGGCCAAGGTGGTCCACGCCTTAGTCACCTCTAGACTGGATTACTGCAATGCACTCTACGTGGGGCTGACCTTGAAAACGGCCTGGAAATTTCAGATGATCCAACGGGCGGCAGCCAGGTTGTTAACTGGGGACCCTTACAGGGAGCAGTCAACCTTCCTGTTCAAGGAGCTCCACTGGCTGCCATTCATTTACCGGACCCAATTCAAGGTGCAGGTTCTTACCTACAAAGCCCTGAACAGTTTGGGACCCGCCTACCTGCGTGACCGCATCTCTGTATACGAGCCCACACGATCTCTTCGTTCATCTGGAGAGGCCTTGCTCTCGATCCTGCCAGCATCGCAGGCGCGATTGGTTTGGATGTGAGAGAGGGCCTTTTCGGTGGTGGCCCCTCGACTCTGGAATTCACTCCCTAAGGACATCAGGCAAGCCCCAACTCTGGCAATCTTTAGGAGGAACTTGAAGACGTGGTTGTTCCAGTGTGCCTTCCCGGAATAATGATCCCATAGCACTTTGTCCCTCTAAAGCACTTTACATTTTTAGGTCTGCTCGTATGTCATTCCACAAACGCCACTATCACCTTTTCGTCCATGCTTCAGCACTATTTCCAATTTCAATTTTACATTTGGCCTTCCCACAGTTTTAATTGTATGTTGTCTTATTGATAATGTTATATGTTTATTGTCTATGTTCTTATTTTAATTGCTTGTATTGTTGTGATTATTACTTGTATTGTTGTGTTCGGGCTCGGCCTCATGTAGGCCGCACCGAGTCTCTTGGGGAGATGGTAGCGGGGTACAAATAGAGTGTTGTTGTTGTTGTTGTTGTTGTTGTTGTTGTTGTTGTTGTTATTATTATTATTATTATTATTATTATTATTATTATTATTAATGGGGCCAGGAACTCCAATTTCAGACCATTTGGGAAATTGACAAATTTCCAAGAATAACATGCATTCTTGCCAGTAGTGATAATGAAATGATCTACCTTGTGTATTGTACTAGCTTACTTGTTACAGGCCTGCTTAATATTTTTTGTGACACCAATGTGTCTATTTCCATTTGTGAGCAGAAAGCAGAAATAAATACTGTGTTGTTGTATGTTTTTCCAGGCTATATGGCCATGTTCTGGAGGCAATTTTTCTCCTGATGTTTCGCCTGCATCTATGGCAAGCATCCTCAGAGGTAGTGAGGTCAGACCTCACTACCTCTGAGGATGCTTGCCATAGATGCAGGCGAAACGTCAGGAGAAAAATTGCCTCCAGAACATGGCCATATAGCCCGGAAAAACCTACAACAACCCAGTGATTCCGGCCATGAAAGCCTTCGACAATACAATAAATACTGTGTTCACAAATTCAAAACGGAACAACACTATATTTTGGATGTAGTCTATTCTAAGGGTCATAGGAACAAGTAATCAAGCTAATATCGAAGCAGACATCAGGTAGTATCTTTTTCTGCCTCACATTCCCTCTGTTCCTCCACTTCTTACACTGTTTGGCTGTGCTTTTTTTCTTTTGCTGGTGCTCTTCCCCTCCATTTGCTCACCGTGATTGAAATCCCTATGGCTTTTAGAAGCTCCCCTACTGTCCATTGTGATTCTCATGAGCCTCCCCACAACAGGTATGAAGTCTTGTGAGATTTTCCAGTTGCCACAAGATTTCATAACAATTCATGGCTGCTGCTTTCTTGTCAAAACTGTCAGAGATGGAACAGAAGGGAACAAAGGGATTTCCAGCCATTAATAAATGCTCGGGTTGTCTCTTTCTGTCCCCACTTGCCTTATGAGTTGTTAATGTTATGACAATTGCTATTGGATGTTGTTTCAATAGGCAGAATCCATGTGTTCAAACCATCTTTCTCTTCTGGTTCTCCAGCACTCCTAAGTTGTTTTTGCTTGCTTGCTGTGGGTGCAGAAGTAGTAGAATAGAATCCAGCTGATCTAATAGAAGCACCTGCCTATGTCTTTTACTGCTTTCCTACTTTCCCTGTTATCTTCTCCGGTGGATATTAGGTCTGAGATGAAGAAGGAAAATGTCTGGTGTTCTGATTAATATATTGATTAATATTTGAACATTCTCATTTCTGTTTCTCATTTCCTACATCTGAGTGAATGAGAGGTAACAGCATTGTCCTTCTAACTTCCAAATAACCTGATTTCCCCCTTATTTGTTAAACTTTTTTTTTTCAAAAACAGGTCTCAGAATCCGCTTGTTGAATTTTTCACTCAAGCTGCTAAGTTGTTTGCTGTACATCATCCGAGTGCTCCTGGATGACCCATCCCAGCAACATGGATGGTAATGTTTCCTTCCTTCTTTATCTTTCTGAGTACTTTGTAAATTGCTGTGCAAATAGGTCTTATGAAGAACGCTTTACCTAAGGTGCCCTGCTCACATGAATGTGTCCATTTTAGTCCCATTTCAGGTTTCACTACATGAGGATGGATATGGAAAGGAAAAGATTAAAAGCAAAGTTTATTTATTTTTATTTATTTACAGCTTTTATATTCCACCCTTCTCACCCCGCAGGGGACTCAGGGCGGATTACAGTGTACACATATTAGGGCTGGGCGGTTTCGTTTCGTTAATTCGTAATTTGTTAATAATTCGTTAATTTTTTCAATTACAAAACGATAATGAACCATTCTGGAGCAATTATTAAAAAAACGAATTTTCAAAAACGTTTTGTAAATGCTTCGTATTTCGATATTGTATTCGTTTCGTTATTGTTTTGAGGTCGTTTTGTTATTATTTCCGCATGTCTGGGCCAGTTTTATGGTTTAATTAGTGAAAAAAATTATAATATCACACCAACAGTCAACAACAGAGGGAGAGGGAAGCTTCAGAAGGTTTTTTAGCGTATTTCGCGGTCGCGTCCGCCATTAACGAATCGATTCGTTATTGTTTCGGAAATCGATTCGTTAATTTTTTACCATTTACGAAATTTCGTAAATATCGAACTTTTTAAAAGGAAAATTTTGTAATTATTTTAAATATCGAAACAAAAAAACCCCCCAAATACAAATCAATTTTAGAAACAAATTTTTCCATTGTTACCCAGGCCTAACACATATATGGCAAACATTCAGTGCCAATTTTTGACATACAAACATATGCAGACATACACAGAGGCTATTTAACTTTTTCTGGCCGCCAGGGAGCTGTCGCTTTCATCGTCCATCTGCGACGCTGATGAAGCACTTCCGCATTCCCCGCATGCTTCCCCGCTGGAATGCTTTGCTGGAGTCTTCTTTATGGCCTCATAAATCAGTTAATTTAGCCTCCCCACACTTTAAGGTAGTACCTAATTTTCCTACTTGACAGATGCAACTGTCTTTTGGGTTGCAAAGGTCGACAACAGGCTACACACAATTGGTTGGAAACCCACTCCAACCCGGCTGGCTTTGAACTCATGATCTTTTGGTCAGAGTGATCTTAATGCAGCTGACACTCAGCCGGCTGCACCACAATCCCGGTGACTAAATCACAAAGGATAAAAAGTTGTAAGCACTATATTTTAACAGATTTGGTTTCAGCTACAATGAATGTATGGGCACTTCCAGACTTGACAGAAATGCATGCCAAAGTTGTTCTTAAAACCCACTTTGGTGAGCGTTTCTGTCCCCACAGTCCACAAAGGAAGCTGTGCTTTCTCAGTGGGGTGTCTAGATGCCTACATGGTAACTACCAGAAGGGCACCCAGACCCCCCCTCCCCAAGTGTGTCATCTCTGCATGCCAGGATTGCCGGAGCAACATAATGGCAGCCCAGTAAGGTTTTACACAATTTTAAGACTGGTTTAGGAGGGTTTGGGGGAGGGTTGGTTGCCCTTTCAGTTCTTTAAGCTTATGGAGTCCAAAAAACTGAGAGAGCTGAGGGACCTGACCCCTGGGTAGTCCCAAGACTACCCAGTATTCAGTCCCCACAGGCCCAATACCCCATTAGACCTGGGCCTTTCAGGAAGGCCAGACTCTAATGGGGTATCTAATTAATTTGAGACAAAGCAGGGTTTGCCTACTTTGTCCAGAATTAAATCTCCTTTACTGGAGGAATTATTTGAATGCCTGTGGTATAAGCCCAACAGGTCCAACATTTTGGAGTCTGTCTGGAAGGGCCCTATAACTGCATAGATGCAGACTTTTCAGCTGCATAATTATTGTGAAAATATGTGAAATATTTTTGTATTTATCATTACTATATCACCCCCTCGATGGATTGTCACCTTGTCATTGTGTGCTCCAATAAATCTGCGGGCAAAGCCATCGGAGTCATGTGCTTCCAGGGTGTCTATGCCACAATTTGATACCAATTTAACGGCAATGGCACAATGCTCCTATAGCATGATTTGAAAGAACAGAAAGACTGCTTTTAGTAGGACTGGCTCTATTTTAGGGAGAATAGGAAGGCTATCTCAGCCATACATGTTGAAGGATAGTGAAGAGATAAAGGTATTTGTACCTCTTGACTTACCCTGCATTTATAAGCTTGGCTTGCTATGCTTGGGTGCAATGAAGGATGCTATCCAATCACTGATGTTGGGATGAAATGCAGTTTAATCCATTAAACCTCATTACAGATTTAGGCCATTTAGCCTGTACATTGCCATGAAGAATGTTATCTCTAGCATTTGCCTCCAGATATAAAATGTTTGGGCTTGCCATGCTTTTCAAATAGAATTGAAAACAAAATATTCAAGAAGATTACACATTCCTGGGGTAAAAAAAGAGTATAATGACAAGCGGTAGGACAACAAATGTTAACATAGATTTACCAGGCTCATTATTTGTAAAATGTGTTACTGAATTATAATATTTGTTTTTCTCATTAGTGTCTGCATATCCATGCTAACACATCCTCTAGCACTTTTCTGTTAGTGAGGGATACCAAATATTTAAAAATGAATTTACATTAAATTCAGGGGTCTTTAAGTGGAAATGTTTTGGACTTATTTTATTAACGACTGAGAGATGAGTAGATACACACATACATAGCACATGCATCAAATGATTATGCGCAGCCTAGATTTTACTAATACTAATATTCATTTATTTATTAACTGCATTTCTGTACCGCTTTTCTCACCCCTGGGGGGGGGGACTCAAAGCGTTTTACAGCATAATAAATGGCAAATTCAATGCCTCACATATATACAAAAATATCACATATCCAAATCAATAACATATAACTGTAACATATAACCATTAAAACTATAAAAACATCAAGCATAGACATAAGTGTGAAACATATTATTGCTGCAATTAATATGTAGACCACTTCTCTTCCTCCCAACTTTCTCTCCATAGCGTTTCAGCCCTTCTTTTTTTATACCCTCCCTGCTCCCCCCATCCCATTAGACTCAAAGTTATTTAGATACAGAATGAATACAAAATGGGGAGGGTAAAAAAAAAACACATCCTAGGCCTTTTTGGGGGATGGTAAATGTGATAATGTGATATGGGGTCCTTGGGGCGGGCGGAGGGAGAGTCTTATCTGATGATGGTAGTAGGCTACTGATCAGTTTCGTAAAAATCCAGAGGGACATAGATTTTATCAGTTGTGGTGTCATAAGTCAGGTGTGAGCTATCACTTGCCAGTAGACTGAAGAAGGGAGGGACACCGAAGTGTAGCTGTCACCGAGGAGAGTTGGTGTGAGCTCCACTCTGAAGGAGCCAAAGTCTTCTGCCCTCCTTTTCATGTCCTCCTTGCCAGCAGCTGGTGGGAGAGGGCAGCGAGGTGTAGTTGCCGCCAAGGAGAGTTGGTGTGTAGGCTGCACCTTCCACCCTGGAGGAGCCAAAGTCTTCTGCCCTCCTTTGCACATCCTCCTTGCCAGCAGCTGGTGGGAGGGAGCAGCGAGGTGTAGCTACTACCGAGAAGAGTTGGTGTGTAGGCTGCACCTTCCACCCTGGAGGAGCCAAAGTCTTCTGCCCTCCTTTGCACGTCCTCCTTGCCGGCAGCTGGTGGAAGGGAGCAGCGAGGTATAGCTGCTGCTGAGGAGAGTTGGTGTATAGGCTTCACCTTCCACCCTGGAGGAGCCAAAGTCTTCTGCCCTCCTTTGCACATCCTCCTTGCCGGCAGCTGGTGGGAGGGAGCAGCGAGGTGTAGCTGCTGCCGAGGAGAGTTGGTGTGTAAGCTGCACCTTCCACCCTGGAGGAGCCAAAGTCTTCTGCCCTCCTTTGCACATCCTCCTTGCCGGCAGCTGGTGAGAGAGAGCAGTGAGGTGTAGCTGCTGCCAAGGAGAGTTGCTGTATAGGCTGCACCTTCCACCCTGGAGGAGCCAAAGTCTTCTGCCCTCCTTTTCATGTCCTCCTTGCCAACAGCTGGTGGGAGGGCGCAGTGAGGTGTAGCTGCCGCCAAGGAGAGTTGGTGTGTAGGCTGCACCTTCCACCCTGGAGGAGCCAAAGTCTTCTGCCCTCCTTTGCATGTCCTTCTTGCCGGCAGCTGGTGGGAGGGGACAGCAAGGTGTAGCTGTTGCCGAGGAGAGTAATAAGCTTTCACTTCGCTTTTCAAATCTTGCTCTTGCACCCTCTCTGCTTTCTCATGTGTACATAAATATTAATAAATAATTGTGGACATAAATATGATTTGCAGCCCAATTGTCTCCATTTATGCAGAATATTCAGAAGGAATACATAATATTGGCTCTGGTCTTAGCCATGATGATTAGAATAGGCCCCTTAAAATTAACTGAGTTCTGACTATTAATATAGCTAATTTCACTGAATCTACTCTAAGCAAGGGAAATATTAATTCCATGACCTTTTTCTGAAGAGTTAGCTGAAGACGTCTTCAAATGCTGTTGTAAAAACTGTCATGGTCTGCCTTACTGTCTAAGAAATAATCTGGAATACATCAATTTGCTACATGCCCATGAAAGTTTTTAATAGATAAGCTGCATGTTTTTAAAAGATATAGCTGTAAAATGAGCCACTGGATTTCCTGAAGTTCGTGAATGCTACTGGCTTAATATTACTAACTAGTATTATCAGTATTGCTGACATTAGCACTGTGTGAAATCTTTGATAAGGAAAAGAAGAAAGACTCCATTTCTGGTCTATGTCATTTCATGTTATTTTTTAAAATTTAAATTGAACCAGATTTTACTGAGTTGGACGTATAGTTTGCTTCCCTGTTATCAGATAACTTATTATATCTAAAACATCGAGATAAATTTTTATGCCATAAATCCACAAAAATCCACAGACATTTTTATGCCATAAATCCACAGAAACCCTTTGTCCAAACCCATTATAGTATACTTTTCATACATTCTCAACTGTTTCATATTTTATATCATTATTA